TAAAACTTGCAAGCATGAATATAAGCCACACACTGGGGGCAGACACCTTCCCACCTCACCCTGCCTCCTGCCTCCCTCCTTGGCACCCTGCCTGTCGGGCAGAGCTGATGAGCTGTGCCTGGTACGTGAGACGTTGCAGTGAGAGAAGCTCTGCCTACCCAGGAAGTGTGGGTGGCTGTGGCAGGGAGCGACTGGGTGAAATGGACTCCAAAAAACTGTGGGCTTGACAGCTCCGTCACTGCCGTGGCCTACTATGCATTTGCAGTTTAGCACCGTCTCCTCCGCTCTAGCACTCCTTGTGCCAAATGAAGTCATTAGTAGATCTGAGGTCTCTCAACCATCTGTGCCAAGTATCTGTTCATCCTTAAGTGGGAATGAGCCATCAGTGCAGCCTTATAGTGGGGCAAGTGGTGCAAGAAGGTCTCTGGGGTATGTCTCAGTCATTTGAATTAGTGTGCCCATCACACTGCTGGATGCAGTAGCGTTTACTATCCACCCCTTCTGCCTGGTTAATGTTTGAGTCTCTTGAGAAGTCTGTTAAATAATGTGAGACCTGGTTACAGCATCCTTTGTTATATTTTTACTGATGACTGGGAATAACCAGACAGCTTTGGTGTGAATGAGAAACTTAATAATCCATAAAGTTTTTTATATCTTTAATTTACGTTACGTTCATAAATCAGGGAAAATAGTGTGAGTTATGGCTTTCTTCCTGGTAGTGGGTTAGAATACGCCAGCTGCGACACTCCAGTTACAGACATGGCTGAATTCATTCCAAATCCAAACTGAAAATTATATTGACCTTATCAGCAGAATACGCCCTTTATTAGATCTTCTCATGGGGGTTTCTTTAGTGTGTTGTAAGAGCTGCCTCACTGTGTTGCAGTAATATACAGGAACACTTGGAGACAAAATCATTGCTTATTAGTCCTAGCGTTTGTAAGCAGTTAAGTATTAACCAATAATAATTTCTTTTCTTTCCCTTTCACCCTTTCTTCAAATTTCCGTTATCTTAGTATCAGAAATTCCAAATCTGGAATGTCCTGCTATCAGGTCTGGATCTGCTTCACTTAAGCCAAGTGCAAGTCTGTTGTTGTATAGATGGTGTGAATAATATCTGAATGGGAGTCATAGTCAGCCTACAATCAGATTAGGACAGACAGAACTGAAAGCAAATTCAGCTTGCTATATGGCCCAACTAAAGCCCTCATGTTCTGTCAGACACAAACACCAAAGCAAATCTGCATGGCTCTCCACTGGGCTGTTGGTCTGGCACAGACAGAGATTGCTCAAACAGTAGCTCCAGATGTCTTGGGTGCAGAGACCTCCTTACAATGTAAATTACAGAGTTTTCATCTGCCGTTCAGAGAGGAAGTAAAATTTAACAGATTACAGCAATTTTAGTTTGCTGGTAACGTCTGAAAATAATGGTTGTTCTCTACTGATGATTTATTATCATTGCATTCACCAGTCCAGGAAAGATTACATATTCTACTTGTATTACCTTACTGAGTATAGGGTACCTCTCTAAAACACATGCAGTCCCTCAAAAGAGCAGATTTTTTGTTATTTAATTCAATCAGTTTATATAATCGATAAACAATTAATTTATATAATTCCTTTTAAATAAACTTGCAGGATTTATTGCCACGGAGGACCAACTAAAACCCAGAGAATGGCTACTTTGAATTTTTAGTGGATTTTTGGTCCTATTGGTCTGTGATGATAAGCCTTAAGAGCTCTAGGATACTCCTCAATAAGTTTCACATTGTGGAGGTTTGAAAAACCACTGAATCTCCTCTGATAATTATCCGTCAGTTCTCCTTTTGGGAGATGTGTTATTTCAGAAATTTTAGAAATGGCAAGGAATTTGACTTGGCAGCTCCAAAGTTCTGAAATCTGTGGGCATTCTTGCTTATTTGTGGGTGTAACTCTCTGATATACTTTGTTCTGGCTCTGTATGTGCATTTTGCTAAGGAGCTGGATAAAAAGGAATTTCTAGAGGAATCGGAAGGGACAAGTTGAATAACAGCACAAGTAAAATAACTGACATAAATGATTCTTAAGGAGTTAAGATGACAAGGGTGGCGATGACCTTGCTTAGGAAGGGACCTTTTCTTGAAGCACCAGACTGGGTAAAATTGTTTATTCTTTCTTAATTTTAAATCTGTGATCACATAAAATCAAAACCTTGGAGATCGTAGTACAAGGAGTAAGATGGGTCAATTAAGGCAGAAAGAAGACTATGCAGTGTGGTCATGAAACCTGAAAGAAATATCACGATACATAAGAAAGATGGAGTTTATTTTTCTGTAGAAACTGAGTTAGTTAAGCTCAGAGGACTTTGGGAAAGTAGGTTTGCTGTTATTTAGCTAAAAGTTAGCTATTATTTGAGCCACACAGAGAAGTCCGGGAGTCCTAGGAATCTAGGAGAAAGGATTTTTCTTCAGGTGTTCTGTAAAAGAAATTCCTTCTTCCTTTTGGTTCTTGGGAGCTGCAGTCCACAACATCAACTCTTGTGGTGGACCTTTGGATTTAAATCTCAGAGCCATCCTTGGTAGGGCTGATCCTTAACTTTGAGATTGGAAACCCCTTAAAATTTCACAGGAATAGGAATGTTGTAGAAGATATTGTGAGTAATCTGGAAGACAGGAAACAAAACAGCCAACCTCCATCCCCAGCTGGCATACTGTGGTGAATTTGTATTTGATATCTGTTACCAGCCTCGAACTGTCGGTGAAAGGTTATCATTATACCAGAATTCCTCACCCCATATATGATGAGATATTAAGAACGGCCTCATTTCACTTCCTCTATCTCCACATGCTGAGGACAGAAAGTAACCACAGCAAAGGCTAGTGTCTGTAGTACGCTTTACACGTGCACCACTGTTAGCACTTTCCATGCCTGTTTATAAGGGGGAAAAGATTTTCTCCCAGGAGGTTAGTCAAACGCCAGGGCATTTATAACTTCATATGCCTCTGGTAGGACGGAGAGCAAAATCACGTAGCCCCGGATTCGCAGGAGCAGTTAGAGTTCTGACTTGGTTTAGGTTCCTAAATACCTGTTTAGATCTGGCCCAGGATCCTTCTGGGCCTCAGTCCCATATTTGAAACTGTGCATAATTAGAAATTAGATGGCATTTTATTGCCTCTTTGGAATATGGAGAGGCAGCTGCATCCTATGAAAATACTTAAACCAGGTTAAAAGGGGCCTCACAGAGAGCTGCTCTGAAAGGCAGTCTTGATGTTTGCATCTCAGAGCATCCATTCATCTCACATTTTTCTTTACATGTACCCCAGTATAAAAAGTGAATACACGTTTATGAAAAGAAAAAAGTAAAAGCTATTGGGACGTCTGTGTATAAATCTTTCCACGTAATAAAATACCTGCCTTTACTAGAAAACAATGAAACAGTCTCTCTACAACTCTACAGTGATCAAAATTCAGTATTGTTCATATAAACAGTTTTATGGTAATAATAGCAGATTTGCAAGGAAAAGGGATTCATTTAGTTCTAAGAGATGTTTGACCTCTGCTACTTTATAATCCATTAGAGAGAAATAAGGTCCACGCAAGCTGGCTTTCTTTTTCTTTTACCTGGAAGGCATTATTTTTTCAATAAATACCAAAATCAAGTCAATATTTTTAGAACCAGTATAATTGCCACTTAATATGGACTAATTTTAGCTCAGAAGTTGTCTGATACTGTATATCCGATGCCAGTAGGAAAGAAATAATTAAGATGTATATTTTTTGTAATTGATCAGGAACATTTCAAAGGGTTACATAAATAATAGACTAATCAAAGTATTGTCTAACTACTTGAAAAGAACACATGCCCTACTGCATGTACATTTATTTAAATTAACTTTGCTGTCAGAGTTTATGAGAAATTCTGAAAGAGGATTTTTTTCACTGTATGCTTAATGCTCTCATAAATATTAATTTGTCAGTTCTATAGGGTAAGATATACAATTAAATTGTTCAGTGTACATCTTTAAAATAGGGGTGTGCATTTACTGCGCTGGGTGATTACTCTATGGAAAAAAATGCAACTTTCAAAGCTCATTTTCACATCTGCCAAATGCTACTCTAACTCATTTTCTGTTCTACAGAGACATAACGATATTAATAATCTAATGTTATGCAGAAGATATTTGAGCCTTTTCATGATATGCAGTATCATGCAATGTTTTTCTACCTAAAAGATTAGTATGTCAGTGACAACAGACTCAACCCATTACCAAAAATGTAAAAAATAGAAAACCGTGGGTTCCAAATAATTCAGATATATTAAAAATTCAGTAGGTATCAGATTCTCATTGTCTTTTAAGCCCATGAAAATGATACTTGCTAATCATTGACGAATCATTTACTAATCTGTTCCTGGATTTGAACACTAAGAAACTTCAGTCTGAGGGCTTGGGGTTTGGCTATATCTCCTTGCAAACAACTACCGTTCTTCTCCACTCTTTTCTAAAACCACTTCAGCTTTGCATGGTTATATGAGGGAAGGATACACTACCAAGCTGAATATTTGATATGAAATTAAATATTATATTTCCATCTACCTGTGAATTCTCATGAATACTCATTAAATGGAATAACCCCTCTTTCCATCAGCGGCCACTGTCATCTGCTGTGTTGTCCCTGGGCTGAGTGTCCTGTCCCTGGGCTGAGTGTCCTGTCCCTGGGCTGGGTTCTCAGGCTGTGTGTGCTTTTTTTTTCCCTCTGGACAGGAAAACAGGGCCTCTGCATGTGTTTAACTCCACATTTTTGCCGGATACTAATATTTCTGCTTTTAATTGACGGCAGTTTTACAGGAGAGCGTCCCCCAGATGTGACTGCTCTGAAATGAAAGAGTGACAGTGTTGGGCTTGAATGTTTCCCATCCAATTACCAATTGCCCCTTCATTTTATTTTGAAAGTTTTTTCACTTGAGTATGGGGTTTCCAAATGACTCTGGTAATCCTGGATTTTTTCCCTTGTTTTTACAGGTGACTTGTAACTGTTTCGCCATCAGTAATGGAGAGATGCAGGATGTTGGTGTTGGCCTGTATCCCAGGTACTGTGGACACTGTTTCATTCACAGGCGAAATCTATGTTCATTTCTCCCCTTTTTTTCTAGGTAGCTGTAAGGACCATCAAAGCAGCACGTAACATGTCCAATCAAGCAACTAGGAAATGCAAATAAATTATAGGAGAATAAAAAATACAATCAAGTTGAAAACATTCTTAATAGTCCTAATCAGAGAGTTAAAGCAGTTTAAATAGGATACTTATTTGTATTTGATTGTTATTGCAATAGTAGCCTTTTCCTAGTAAGGATAAATGCTGACATCAAAATGTGTGGCTGGAGCTTCCTAAAAAGTAAAAGAAACCTGAGAGTTGCTTTAGAAGATAGATATTTTGCAGTCAAGAGCCTTCTGAGCTGGCAATTAAATGAAAAAGACTGAATGCTTATTTTAGAAAATTAAGCATAGCTAAGAAACTAGTAAGATGAACAGACAGGCTCCTGAAGAGATAGATGTTAATATTTGAATTGCTTCTTCTTTCTTGTATTCTTCTTAGGTTAGAAGTACATACTAGGGAAGATTTTGCCCAGTTTTGCCCTCATAGAATTAGTTACCTGTAGTTATTAATGTGTAACATTAAGATGTATTTGGAAAATGAAGTTGAAAATTATATTTGACCATCTCAGAAGTTGTTGTTAATAGCAGATTGAACCATTTCTCAGTATCTAAATGGGCTTGTCACTGTTACTTCTTTTTCTGCTAATGTCTTTCATGCAAGATTTGAGTAAAGACACATAATATCTTGAAGGCTGCTTTGTGGTGAAGATAATGGAAAGGCTTTTAGGAGAACATGGGAATCGGTGTCATTTAATTTCATAGTGGAAGAGAAACAAATCTTTTTACATACTTTGGAAAAATGTAATATTGTTTTGGAACATTGTTATTACTTAAATATTTCCATTTGGATGAAAAAAACTTCTGACTGGGAAGAAGGTGGCCATGTGTGTTCTGTGACAAGGCACTGCCAAGGGATGCGAGAGACTTTTCCAAGTCAATTCAGAACAGTTTGAATTTTCTTATACCATATGACTCTGAGTTAAGCTGAGTGTGAACTGAGACTAGTAGTTCCCAAATCCTAGGCCAGTGCCCTTCCATCTGGGCTGTAGGGTGTAAAAGGATGAGAGTGTCTTATGTTTCCAGATGAAATGGTCATCAAAACATTAGTATTTCCACAGGGTGAAATCTGATTAAAAGTGCTTTAGTTAGTCTCATCAAAAGTGTTGTTGCATGGCTTGATAGCTTCAGCATCCCTATATACTTTTAAATAGATAAAATCCTGTGGTTGTTCTCTTCATTGTCTTGTAAGCAGCTTTGAGAATGAGCTCCGTGGTCTTACAAGCGAAATGGAGACAAACCTCTCTCTAAGTGTACATTACTGTGTTCATGTGGAGATCAACCACAGATATTTTGTTAGGCCCAAAGGGATATCGAAAGAATCAAGGTCCTTCTGATAACCCTTTTAAGAGTCAAGAAGTAAGTAAACATGGTTTGGTGCAGGGCTCTGGCCCTTAGCAAATCCTTTGTTCTGCTGACGACAGTTGGGATTTTGGGTTGCTGAAAGCAAAGAAAGACAGCCAGAAGGTGGATAAGCCAAAAATTCTTCTTCCAGCCTAATGATGCCGGAATTATTCATCCAATGGGCTATTTCCATAGGGGAAAAAAACCTCAGCCCTGAGTCTGCTATGAGATTGATGTTGGTCTGGCAAAGTCAGTTGTTGCTCGGCTGATGAAATATGGGAATAGCAAATACATAGAGGACGTTATTCTTAAGTCTCCTGCAAAGAAGAACAAAGGGTGTGCGTGTGTGTCAGGAGATCCACCAGCACCTGTGTGTCCTGGGGATGGCTGCAGCTCCATGATGAGCTGTGCTGCTACAGCTGTCATGTGTCATGGGAATCAAACCATACGAGTGAAAGAGAGGCAAAGGCTGTTTCTTTTCTTTCACCACCATACCCTAGTAATCTGGTTTTGAGACATAGTACAGTCCATTTTCTACCTGCTATAGAATAGGCTTTACTTGCCAGCCTCTTAGCACTCCAGTTCTGCTGAAGGTCGGGGTAACTGAGAGAGTGGGTGTTCTTAGTGCCCTGAAACAGGGCAGAAGCAGCAGAAATAAAATACAGTTCGAAGGTGCTAACTTTTTATTCTGAACTGCCCCCCGCTGCCTTGCTCCCAGCTTGTTGGCTTTGCCCTCTCCCCTGAGACAGGCCTCTCGGGGATCACCGGGAGGCCATCTCCTTCCTCCCACGTACCATACAGGGACAGCAGAATCAAGTGAACAGACCCAAGCATGGCTCTTATTAACAATGAGTATAAATCTTCTAAGCATTAATTTTCCTCCCTTAACCAACAGCAGCTGGTTTACCAGGATTTTATTTGTTTGGTAACTTAATTGCTTGGTACTTTAGATGTAATGGAGTTAGCTACTTTGAAATGATTAAAGAGGTAATGGCAGAGTGAAGGCTCCTCCATAAAGTTATTTTTCTCTCTTTCTTTCTCCCCCTCTCCCTCCTCTCACAGCATGTCTTTACTGAATCACAGTTGTGACCCAAACTGTGTGATCATTTTTGAAGGATACCAGCTTTTACTTCGCTCCGTCCGAGAGATCCAGATTGGTGAAGAGGTAATTAACTTGTCCTCCCTTCCATCACAGACACCTGCAAACAATGACATCTCCCTAAATAAATTCCAGACTGCAGGGCCACCAGCTTAATATTTTGGTGATATATTGATGCCAGTTTCTAGCACATAGCTATCAGGGAGAAGATGATAAATAGAATCATCTCTTCACACTGCCTGGGCCCCATAATCATTACTTCTCATAAATCACTAGCAGTCTTGATAAATTCTTGTTCTTCCTTTCCTCCTCTAGGCACTTCATTTTGTTTGTATTTGAACGTCTTTACCCTGATGGAGACACTTGTAATATTCCTAGGTGGAATGCAGTGTTCACTAAGTCATTGCAACAATAAGCATTTCTCAGTCTGCAACCATACTATTATAGTAAACCTTTCATTGCCATTGAAAGCAGCAGGCAAAATTTGTTCTCATGTCCATTTCATTGAAAGTGATTTCAAAATATTCCTTTCAAGAGATTTCTGATTGATCTAAGGTATTCTCAGCTTTGTTTTTAAGATAGAATTTTTATTGATTCGAAAATAATAATCATTTGCAGCTTGATTAAGCCTTTCAAAGTAACCATCTTTTACAGCAATGCAATATTGAATTTGCAAAGACATACATACATATATATATATAAAACTTCACATACAGTGATGACCTATACAGTTCCAGTTGTCGTATGCAGTTGTTAATCATTTCAGTATCGTGACCTGAGGTAAATACAATTCAGGTCTGTGCTTCAAACTCTGGGAAGATCAAGGGTATACATATTCTAATTTGGGAATGATATTTCTTCTTCTCCCTGTGAGGTATTTTCTTTGTTAATATATTTTATTTTTCTAAGATGCTAGGCCATGAAAAGAAGTAAATGGTGAGATACCTTATTAGGCAAAATAATGTGATTACATGGGAGAATCAACAGAAATGCCTTTGCATACTTCCCTTTTTGCCAAGAAAACACTTTTAGCTTGCAATATGCTGTTGTGGAGCTATTAAGTGTAGACATTATTCTGCCTGACATTCCTGTTTAAGCCAAATTATGCACACTTTTCCTGCATTTTATCCATAAGTTTCCTCACCTTCCCAATTCACAAAAATGGGTTCATTATTTAAAAATGCAGTAGTTTTTAATACCTTCCCAGGATGCATTCAGGTTAATTATTAGACTACTAAATTTTGAAGTTATTTGATTTCTAGGTACATGGCTAGATAAATTGTGTAAAGCAGTTCTTTGTTGCAGGCAAATTTACAGAGTAGGAAGGACACTCAGATAGCACTGGAGTGGTTCTGGAATGAGAAAAGTCGTAGAATTCCCTTGCTTGCATGTGCACCGTGCTAACCCTGCTAAGGCTAATGACCCAAATTTTAGATTTGGTGTTAGTAATCTGTAACCCGTAGAAGTTTTAGAATAAAATACATGGTGAAGCAGATATGGTGTAAATTACAAGTCCTTTGTAAAGCAATCAGAAAACAAATACATGTTGTAAAGCAGGGCAGCTAAAACATTTCTTTGCAGTGACTTTGGCAGCTCCATGAATAGGTGCTTTGAAATGACTGCAACTTACATGGATACGTCATATTTTCTAAAAAGCTTTGCTTCCAATTAGGCAGTAAAATAAAGACAGAACTTTCCAAAGAGCTCAGGTTCTGTTTTCTTTATTGGGAGTATTGCTACTGGCTTTGGCGCCTAAAGGAAAAGTTGCCTTAAGGAAAAGGTAAGATAAAAGAAAAAATCCTGTCCTGTGTTAAAGCGGGTGCCCTCTTGACTTGCCTGGAAATAAAAGTAGCAGTCAGAGGTACGTGCTTCTTTAAATAAGGATGTGTCTCAGGAAGGAAATTAGCATAAGTGAGAAAGTAAAGAAGTTGTTATTCAGTGAAGATTAAAAGTGAATATTAGTTTAGACTCGTTCTGGGAAGAGGAAAGAAAACTATTATGTTACAAGGGTATGAACAGGTCAGAGGGTTAACGTTATTTTTAACACTCAATTACTTTTCCTCTTACACAACTGTTAGGGGTTTTCGTTCTGTGTTCTGCACGGCAGCTTCGGTACAGCTGCTTCCCCCACTGCCTTACTGCCTGCCTGCAGCAGGGTGGGCTCGGTGCTGTTGTTAGCAGTGTGTGTTATCACTTGTGCGCCTGTTTATGCTGGTGTTACTGGGGTCATGATCTGAGTTAATGGGAGAGAAAGCAGGGAAAAATCTGACTGTCTTTTTGACTAAATCAAGTGCTGCGAGGTGGTGGGACAGAGATTGTTTCAAGTTAGGAGGCAACAAGAAACCTCAAATAATTCTAAGCAGTAGAAAACTTTCCTGATCCTAATCAACTTAAACTGGATTTAAACAGAATGAGATCCCATATGTAACAGTTAATAGAAAGTGAATAAGCGCTGAGATTTAATAGAAATGAGAAGCTTAATAGCAAGTCGAGATCAGATTAGAAAAAGAGGACTATGGCTTTACCATTCACACAGGAACAAACTTGATAGGGCTTTTGGTCCGTTGCCAGGAAAGTATCAAACGCTGGACTGTGATATGTTCATTAGACGGGTAAGAAATAGAAGTACTTTTGCACATTGGTAGTGCTTTCTGTCAGAGGGCTCTACGGCAATTTACTCATGTTAACGAGTTGTTAGCCACATATAATCACACAAAATCAGAGACAGAGCAGTGAGGTGACTGGCTATTGTCATCATCTCACAACTATAGGAGGAGGAAGGCCCCGTAGACCTGATTTTGGTTGTAAACCAGGAGGAGAGCTATCATTACACTGAATGTAGCTGTTTCATTGTGATACAGATTTATTCTGGAATCACATTTATGCCCTGACTGCACTTTAGAGTGTTTGGACTATATGTTAATTATATTGATCAAGTCAGTGACAAAAAGTGGGCCAGATTATGTGAACCTCAAAAAGTTTTCCTTTCCTGATGGAAGTTGTCCCGTTTCAGCTTTAGTCTTATATCTAAGCAGACTTTGTTGGCTTTGCATGTTTTTGACAGGAAGACATGTGGCATTTGGTGGTTTTTAATTGAATTTTGGTTTGTGCTTTGAAATGTATTCAAATCCCAAGGCCAAAATGGATCTCAGGCAGTAGGAAATTAGGAATCTTGGAGCGGAAGAAAATGTTCACCTGGAGCCCTGTGGAATGAAAGTGCTAAATTTGATGGAGCTCTATGTTTGGAAAACTAATCATCTGAAATCACACGCAAAAATTCTAGCCACCTAAGCCTTTTTTTGTGGCAAAGATAGTGTTGCCAGTCCTGAGCCATTAAGAAATCATGAGTCGTGAGTGTTACTTTCGTTTAAGTATTGAAAGAACTGATTCATGTGTAATTGCGTGCTTTAAGAAAACAAAATGTATTGCAGGAGCCATATTAAAATACTGAGAGTTGGCTTTTGCCAATGAGTACTTTATTCAGTGTTCAGAAGAACAGCTTTCTTTTCTGTCATTATATAACTAACTGGTACATCAGCTTAAATGGCACTTATAATTCTCATTAAATATAGAATTTTTCGAGTAAAAATTCAGCTCTGGTAGGAAACTTCCTTCAAACGTGGTACCCTTTTCTGTTTTTTTCTCCCATCTGTGCTCTGGCTCTGTTATAGATCCATACAGCCTTATATGAAGTATACTAACACCGCAAATCCTGGAGCTTGACTAGATGGTGATGATCACTTCTAAATTTAAATAATTTCTGCTCTGCACCTGGCGTGCACGGAATGAAACAGAAAGGGAGCACAAGAGAAGGCAAAAGAAGTGAAAGGAAGGCTTGGGAACAACTTCTGATCTCCATGCATGGAAGAGGAAGTTAGAAAAGTATTGCAAAGAAAGATATGGGGAAAGATGATAAGGAAGCAAAGATTGTTCACCTAGAGATTGCCAGGGCTCCTTCAGTGATAAGGTAGCCTATCAGCTAATTTACTTTTTCAAAAAACATGCAGAGCAGCCTGCTCTGGCGAGGTCTTCATCATTCCCTGCCCTTAAGTAACCACTTTAAATAGCATCAAGATTTGTGCTATAATTTTTTTTGACCTGTTGTTAATTACTGTGCCTACATGGTACTTTGCAGGCAGACATGAGCTCATTTTGCCTATTCTCCAATCAGAAGGTGTATAGCCATGGTTAGTTTAGTGTGTAGTTCAAATCAGTTAGTCCTGCTGAGAGACTGGATGTATTAGCTCAGATTCAGTTCTGCTCCAAAATGGGTACATGGCTTCTCATCAGCTTCAGAGTGCAATTAGAGCAAATTTGTATCTTTCTGCAGAAAGTCACACAACAGACCGTCCTCTTGCTTGAGCAACTAATTTTTAAGTTCATATTAAACACAGCTCATAGTTTCCTGTGGCCAGCAATAGTGTCTTCATGATAGATTTTCAGCCAAGATACATGGTATTTCTGTTATTACAGTTCTGTGAGGAGTTTTATCTGTGAATGTGTTTGTCACATTACATTTTTTAAAAGCAAATCTTTCCTTGAGTTACAAGGCGTGTTTATCATATATGCTAAAGCAGAAAGGTCACAACCTGTTCACCACTTACGTAACTCAAAGCAATCATTTAACTCAGTCTCAGGAACAGCTTTTTGGACAGAATCCTGCCCAAGACCTTGAGACACATGTTTTCAAAAACAAGACTCTTTTTTTTCTGCCATTTGAGTTTAAATTTCTATAGAATCTTCCATCTAGAGATTTTGTTGCTTTTAGCCTATTACAAAAAAAAAAGTTTCACTTAACTAAAAAATAAATTTCACCTGCAGTGTGGCAAGACTGGAAAATCATGTCCACTTCAGCTGGCAGATGAAGAACATGAGAAACTAACCACCATACCTATGGTTAAAGCATTTCTGCGTCAGAGCTAGAAATAAGGCTCAGCCAGTGATGCGTTTCCAAGGCGAAAGTCTTGAGAATCAATAAGTCTCATGGCTGTTAAATAATTCCCTGCATTCATAACTGTTATTTAATATATCCTCAGGTTTGGAGGAAAAGATTTACTGCATTCTTTATAAGAAATGCAATAAAGAGGCAAGCTTTGGCCAGGAAAATAATATTTTAATTAATACCATACATACCCCATGCAAATACCATTAAGACAACCTTTGATGGATGGGCACATTTCATGAACATGTACAAGGTAAATGAGCCTTGCATCTAATGAAGGGAATCAGAATTAAAACAAGCGTAGGAGAGAGACTGCAGAATTTTTATGTTTAAATGAGTAAATGATTGGTGTAGACCTAGTCACTGTTAGGCTGGTCATGTTTCTAAATATTCTAATTACATTTTCCCACTCAGTCTGCCAGCAACAAACATTCTTTTCACTTACGGGTTTCTGTTGACAGGAGTGGGAATTTGGGCTTGGGCCTCCAAGGACAAGAGAAACCCCAAATCTTTAACGTGCTAAAAGGAGATCTCAATGATGTGGCAAAGCATCTTGTCCTTCTCCCCTCCTACTCGATCACATGTTGTAATGCAGATCAGGTTGTTAAGTGGCTGTTAGTATCCACAACTGTTCAGTAGCCTCTAAAAAAACAAGTTATTGGTTTCCAGTTTGTGCCTACTTCCAAAGTTTCTATAGCACACGTGAAAAAAGAAATAAGAATGGAAAGGAGAGAAAGGAATGAAACCTGAAGGCTCAAGATAGAAAACAATGCTTGTTTCCTGCTACGGGTTTGTTGTGCAGTGTTAGAACTGAACCCTGCCTAACGATGGCTTCAAGAGTACTGAATATGTCTCAACCCTTCTCTAAGCGTTTTGGCAAAGAACAGATTAATCTCACATGAGTGATTTTTTTGCAGAGGATTCCTGCTGTCTTGAACTGTGCCTGAACCTGATTAAAATGCTTTTATTTTGGGGTGCCACCTGAACCTAAAGCCCAGTAGGACCCATCATTGGTCAGAACCATTGATGTAAATGCAAGGAGGGTAAGAGATGGGGAACGGGGTACTATAGGGTGAAAGACAACACTTGAGAGTTGCAAGGAGACATTACTTTCAGAGGCTTATGCTGGGAGAGGGATTGGGCCTGGAATGGCTGAAGAATGAGGTTAGGACTGCAGGTTGACTGGACACTAGCATGTGGGTGGAAAGGGAGACAGATCTTTCTTACCACACAAAGGAGGATGCAGAGTAGGACTACCTGGGCAAAGAAATTAGGACGAAGAGTTGGTGGTCACTGTAGATGGTTGAGAAACCAGAGTAGGACGACAGGGATTGTTAACTTGGGAGAGTAGGAGTGTTGGTGGTCACGTATTGTGAAAAGGTGTGAGATGAGGCATGCAGGCGTGGGAGAATGGCAGATCTGGGACTGGCTGGATAGTAAAACCAGTCCATTGTATTGGAGAATAACAGGGAATGGCTGTTTAAGGGACTAGAACCTAGAGCTGGAAAACAGTAGTAGTTAACCAGGTGAGGGGAATAAGACTGAAAAATGATACTCATGTCCAGGGACAGAGAAGGGAGAGAAAGAGAAGAGGGACAAATTAGAGGGGCAGAAGAAATCAAGCTTGGGAGGAAAGAATAGGCAGAAGAATTTGCATCCATTTGCAGCAGAAAACTTGGAAGCCCACAGCTCACATGCACTGCTGTCCTGCTGCCAGCGAACAGCAGTGAAACTCTCCACCTAGGCTGTCTCACCCCCAGTGGTGCTAGCCGTGTAGATTAATAAACAGTAGTGAAGCTCCTGATGCAGAAGTCCCAGGAGTAGATATGAAGGTCCGAGTTCTGCTTCATATTCTTTTCTACCTCACGTGATGTAGCAAGATGGAATTCCCATTTTCACTTTTTTTTAGTGAAAGACTTGGAAACTACTCTGCTCTCAACTCATACACACACAAGCTATGACAGAAGAACATTATTAAGAATTAAAAATCTGACAATCGAAAGTTAGAAAGCTTGAGAATTAATTTTATCTGTAGAACTTTAATTTGGCTCTTTCGTGAATTGTACTATTAATCTTCAATTATGAGACCATGTTTTATTTTTTCCACGTGCTTTCTACTTATGATCATTTTACGTGCTTGACTTTACCATCTCAGTAACGTTCTTTTAACACAGTCCTCCTTCAAAAAGTAATCAAATTACATTTGTAATAATGAATGAACAAATGCAGACCTTATTTATGTTGCTTGTTAATTGCTTGTTTAATTAGAATGCTCACTAATTCGCCAAATGCAGTTTCTGACAATGGAGTTCATAATCATTAGTGCAAATTGGTCAGGTTTTCCTGTAATTTCTTTGAGTGGACTCTCATGATTTAACTGGGAACCATGTAAAAATTCTCCCAATTAGTTGAAGTGTCTCAGCTCAGGATGAAGTAACATGACCTGTTTTTTTAGCTTTGACCTCTCTGGAGTGTTTCAAAGTGTGCTGGGTGTATAGTGTAATCACTGTACAGCATGTGTGACGGAATGCTCATCTGAGCTGGGCTGTTGTTTTGTTGTATTCTTTCCCTTATCATTAGTTTGTGCCTGCAGAGCACTGTTAAACTCTTAAAAAATTCTACAGATGGTTAGCCCTGTGAAATTCCTTCGGGCAAGCATAAAAGTGAACAAACTTAAAGGAGTTCTCTGTAATTCATTGGAATTCATTCTGTATAGCATGAGGAGTTTTTAAATGGCACAGATATAAGCATTTTCCTTTATTGATTACAAAGGAAATGTCATAGACGTACCGAAGATAGGAATGACATAACAGGCGCTTTCCTCAGGCTCGAATGCAGCATAGAACATATATTTGCAAGGAAGTGGAGGTTTTATTGAGACAAAATCTTTGGAAATAGTTGGATGTTGTGTAACACCAGCACTAAATAAACACTTAAGATTTGGAGCTGGGCAGAAAATGAGATTTCATGCACAGGGAATTCAAATACTGAACGTGGTTTCTTTTCTCTTCTTTCTTTCTTTCTGTTTCTTTTCTCTTCTTTCTTCCAAAGTAGAACGAAAAGCTGAAATAACGGTGATTTTCCCAAGATTCAGAATTTTGAGCAATATTGATCTGGAAGTGCAAAAAAAAGTGTTTCCTCCATGAAACTTTTTTGTCTTTTTTTCCCCCATTGACAAAATTGTGGGTTTTTTCTAGGAAATCATCTGGTAAGACGAAATTTCATTTTATACAGCAAAAATATTTTATCTGCAAATGTGAAATGTTATCTTAGATCTATAAACGAGTGTGGAATGTTTGTAAAATATATTCTGTTTTCTTCTGTACTGCACACAGCTCACCATCAGCTATATTGAATCACTGGTGCCCACCAGTGAACGCCAAAAGCACCTGATGCGCCAGTATTGCTTTGAATGTGACTGTCTTCTCTGCCGGAATCAAGACAAGGTAGGTTGAGTTCAGAAATTCCTTCCCGTAAAACAGAATTTTCCAAGGCCTGTCAGCAACTTCCTTTCCTGTAAGTAATACTTATCTTTTTGCTACTAACTGAGTGGCCAGAATACAGAAGCAAATGACTTCTGCCCTCAGTGCTGTTTATGTTACTATGAAAGACAAGTGTGAAGGAAAGGAAAGCAGGAAATGTCGACCACATGATAAGAATTTTTTGCTAAAATGTGCATTGTTCATAAAGCTAGGAACTGTTTTCTGTCCCAAGATGTGGTTCAGATCAGTCTGAGACTCAGGGACCTCTGAACGTGAGAGTTAACATTACTTTAAGCTGAGAGGAAAGGATTTTGTTTTCTTCTTTCTATTCAGAAGAAAAATCTCAGAACTTTAACTGAAGCCACTTGTCTGATGCTAGAGGAGGGATATGTTTCTCCTCATAGTTAATTTAAATTTAGTCTGACAAACACCTGCATCAATAAATTCTCAAAAACTGCCACTCACATTCAGCATCTGTTAGAGTTAGTCTACACCCAGGGTGATGAAACTCTTTGGACAACTGTTTGTAACTTTTATGATCTCTTTCTCAAGCTCGTGGAGCAGCAGGTCAGTAGTTGTAGTAGACAGAAATTCTGTTCAGCATGACCTTTTACTAGGAATCAGCTTGGCCTGGGTTAATTAGGTTCTGGATGGCTTCCTATTTATACGATCTGGCCAGAATAGTTCTGGCTCCAAGCCTGATGAGAAATCAAATGAAATATGCAAAATGAGGCTGGCTTCTAGCACTGCATCTACTTTGTCTCTCTAGTTACATACACTCTTGTTTTTGTAAATGCCTGTTTTGTGTGAGTCACATGCCGTAGCTAAATGTGTTCCCAGTAGATCAGAGATGGTATGACAGAAGCTAGTGAACTTGTGATTACGAGGAGCATGGTATGATGGTATGATTCATGAAGTGATTGCTGTACAGCAAAATGGAAAAAAAATCAAAGTTTAAACTGTGGTAAGTATATCTTTGGAGTAGGACAGTTGTCTGAGTGTGCAGTTTCATTCAAGCCATTGAACACATAATGTATCCTTTGATATGTCAGTAAGCAGTTCAAAAAGGGACCACAGAAGAGTTTCTGGCTTATGACATGGCGCTAAATTACTTCATATCCATGCGCAGAAGTTGTTGGCATTCTGTGCCTGATACAAGGTTGCTGTAACGCTATTTGGAGGCAGTAAAGGATAGCAAGGACCTCTGTTTTTATTTTAAATATGCTTACTCAAGTGCCATGAAATCTCAGATTGGTTTTGGGGAATGGCATTCCACTATAGATGCAGTGATAATTAGGAAAAACAAGCAGTCTAAGGTGTCTTTAAGGATCGCTTAACTGACTGCAGAAGGGTAGACAAGTGGTGTAAAGACCTTTCAGCATGTGGAATGTGTTAACAAACAAGATCCACGGGTTGGAGTACGCTTTACTGTGATAGTCAACCTTGCTGCATCAACAAATGTGGTGGTGGACTTGTATGTGCATGTGTTTATGGATACAGTAGTCTCATAAATGGGTTAGAAATAATGATTTTTTTTCTCTTCGAAGTTATTAACTGTACTTTGAGTTCATCTGCTATAGATTTTTTTTTTAATTGGCAAAATTCCCTATGGGAAAGGTATTACAAAATGTTTGGAAAGCTCCTCCTGGTTGCATTCTGACATTTGCTAGTGTTTCCTTACTGCTACCATGTAAAGACATCTGGGAGGGGCTGAGAACCTCATGTTGGTGTTGTGTGTTGATGCCTGTGAAGAAGACATCTTTCTCCTTAGCTCAGCTCTAAGATGATTAGATGTAATCTGCAGCAAACTTCATAGCGCTGTCTTTGTGACAGAGCTAATAAATATAACTGTTTATGTGACTAACTTGGAAATATTATGTTTCTAGCATTGGTCTCTGTCACTGTTGGTAAGCTAGGAGACAAGTAACATTGCAGCTACCATGGAAGAGAGTAGAGTATTTTGGGAAATTTGGGAAATTCTTTTTTTTTTAAAGTACAAATTGGCTGGATTTAGATGCTTAAAAGTTATCAATTGGCAAAAATTTTCAGTCATCTCACTTCTGAAATACCCCTGATATCAAGACAAGTTTTCAAGATGCCTTGAAAATTCTTGAAAAGCAAAGTCTTTGTCAACACAATAGGCAGCTGCTGCCGGGTATGTTCCCATATAGCAGCATTGCTTTGTAAATATGATGGCCTAATCAGCAGTAGTCTAACTCGTAATGTTTGTTGTGGATAAAAAGGCAAAATCCATTTTGGCTGAGAAACGCTTTATGTTTTCAAGTCTTGCATGTCTTTCTTCTGTTGTAATTATCTCCCCTAAAAAGCAAGATTTTTTTAATGCCTGCCTGTTGCTGAGCACCTACCAGGAACCGGTGAAAGTAGAGGAATCGTTCCGGAGAGGCACTCAACAATTTATGACAAAACTGTATGTCACATCATTCCCGTTGTCACACCATAGTCCTGGCCAGTCACTTTCTGCAACTGGCCTAGCAGCCTGGCTGCTGATTTGACAAGGGAAGAGTAGCATGTGCTAACCTGCCAGTGTAAAGTGGATGAGGTAAAATGAAGGTGATCCTTTTGGCGGTACAGTTACTGCCAAAGTAGCTGGCACTAACTGCAAATCTGACTAATAATTGTAATTGATTTTTGCCCAAGATGAAAAACAGTTCAGTAACTGAAAGAGGGAAAAAAAGACCTCTTCGTAAAACCCACTCACAGAATGTTTGCTGACTGTCAGTATTGGCTACTGTAATGCCTTCAGTTCGTTGTATCTCTGACCGCTTTATACGTTATTATTCGTTCCAGACATTTTAAGATCAATCTCCACTATAATTCGGAAATACGTTCCTTCCTAAAAGCTGAACTCTTGGCAATGTACTACCATTCCAGCACATAAAAGCCCCTTACATTAATTATAATTAAAGATGGGATTACACTGATGACAAACATTTTAAATGGAGAACAGTTTTTCCGCTGTCAAGAGCCAGAGTATTGTTCATGTTCCACGTTTTCAGCCAAGGGTTTCAGGGAGATTTGTGCTTATAGAATCACTTTGCAATTAGTCGTCTTTCTCGTTTGGAGCCAAGAATTAATATTTTAGTCTAGCTTAGTTTTTGGAAAGCTTTTATTTAACACAAGGTCAGCAGCAATGGATTTGAACCTGAATTTTTACATTTGGCCGGTGTTTGTTGGTTGCCAAAGCTAATAATAACGTAATGCCAATAAGTACTTTATTCCTTTAATCAGTTTACTGCTTTGCTTAGTACTCACTCATATTGCACCCTGAATTTTAGTAGAGAACATCACAAGTCCAGTTTCCGTCTCAAGGACTCTCAGAATTAGGTCATCTGAACAGCAGCCAAGTCATCTACATCCACATGAAAATATCACCTGCAATCCTTTAGCTGGTGATGAATTTCCGTACATTCATTAACTCGTTTATATAAAAGCACTGAATAAGTGCCTGAACCTACTAGAAGTTTCAGCGTTGCTTTTTCAATCATAGGAAACAACAGAACCAGAATTGTCATTCAAATGTAAACAATCCTTCACCTATTTGATCAGGTTTATTGCTAGAGTATAATTCTCTGCCTATGTCTGTGGTTGATTTGCCTCACTGAAGTTTCTGGGAGATCCTTGAAGGTGGCCAAGGATAGAATTTACGCAACATTTGCACCTTTGATCTTTATGTTCGATGTCAGCAATACCATTGAGGAACATGTACTTAAATCACAGAGGCATTGTTCGTGGAGAGTATTATTATTGACTGCTCTTGTGAATTAGAATGCAAAGGCTTGGTATAAGATCACTGAACTACTGTTACTACAGGAATATCATCCCTCCCTCAGGGAGCATGTATTTAGGACACACGGGAAATATAACATGCTATGTTACAAAGTGCCTTTTTAAATTGCTCAGTTGTGATGTTCCAGAAGTTGGTGTCCCAGCTTCCTCAATATTTATTTATTTTGATGTATTTGCATTCTCACTAAGTTCTCCAAGTACCAAAAAAGGAAGGGTTGGAAGCAAGGAGTAAATGGGATTATTGAAAAAAAAAATCTGCTTATGTAGATAACTGAACATAAAACCCCTTCACCAATGCAAAGGATAAAGTAGGAACATCTGTGTCTGTAGTCATGATTCTAAGGTACTTACTATTAGGGGTCAGGACTTTGCCCCAACAAAACGCTGGTTTGAACAATCTATGCTCAGAAGTTAGTCTGTATAGCGGCTTATTCCATAAATCCTCTATTCGTTCCTTATCTCCTTTTACTGGTTTGCCACTACAATTACCTTTAAAGAAAATCAGAGATGGAAGTCAAGTCACAGTAGTTACAGCTACTGATCTTAAGGTACCCACCAGCACTCCAGCATAAGATGTAACAAGCTCCAAAGATCGAGCTCAGTCATATTTAACCCACCCACCCTTTCAGCCCAACATTAGTATCACAAGTGCCTACAGAAGCCAGTGGCAGTAATTAGCAGCCCACTGGGATACAATATTTATTCTTTTCATAGGTGATTGGCTGATTAACAGTTCCTTCCTCCTGGCGAGACATTTAGTAATGAAATAAACCCTGGATCTGTTCCTGAAATCCAACAATCAATCCAACAGTCTTCTGGTCCCTTTCAGGGGATCTTACCCTCTTGGGATGCATTTCCAATAGCCAAGGACAGAGGGTTTTTTTTTTTCCTAGTGCCAAAAATGATGCTGAAAACCAAGGCAACTGTTTCTAATTTCTGGGCTCTCTTGTTCATTCAACAAAGGCATCATCTCTTCAGCCTCTTAGTATGCTCGCACGACTTCTGAGGCTTCTTCCATCTTCCGACACTGTAATTTTTTTCCTGTGAAAGAGCAGTCCCACAGGCAGTGTCAGAATATAACAAATGGACAGTGATCATTTTACCACGACAGCTTACCTCTTCCAGTTGCATCAGGACTGCCTCGGTGTGCTCTGGTC